AATTCCGCGGTAGTTGGCGCGTATGGCGGGGTCGCCTTTCTTGTGGAAGACTTTACCTTAGGTATTTTCAACAAATTATAACAACAATTTGCTCCAGCTTTAGCTGAAAGGTAAATAAAAGCTCTGTGTACATTTTTGGTGCATAATTTCAAAAATGCCAAAGTTTGAGTTGTGCCACTTATGAAGATCGTGTGCGATATGCTGGACTTTGGGTTCAAAATGTAAGTACATATGTATAATTTAATTGCTTCTAAAGGGTTCCAAATTTTATTTTTGTGATAAAACTGTAACTTAAATTTGTCTCACAAAGTAATGGGTAGGTGAGGTATACTTGCAGCCAGGTCTATGATATCATCTGCTTTCGTGTCATCGAGTTATAAAATCGTAAGATTCCGTAAATGCAGAAAATTAAACTTGGCAATATAATTCTTCCTTGCCGCTTGAAATGATCTAAGCTGTTCGACTTTTCCCCAAAACTGATTTCCCGGCTTCAATTGTCGGAAATTTGAAGTTTTCATTTTTTCCAGATAGTTGGTGAGTAACTTTTGACTTTTATACAGGTTCTCGAAACAAAATGAGTCAGGTCTTTTCATCAAGATTTGTAAACTAGTCGTTGGATTACCCAGTCATTACAAAATAGAATTTAAAAGTTACTGAACTTTTTATGTGGTAAGAGTGTTTAACAGATTTCCAAACGAGTACTATAATTAATTATGCCTTCAATTAGTCTCTCCTATATAAACCAACAGGAAACTCCACTTCCTATGTCCGGTGGCTAAGGTTTCCCGCTCGACACCAGAGTAGGTACACTGTGCACGGCATTAACCACCTCTTCACAATTAAACTAACACCCCTATTCTTCTGTCCCGACCCCGAGCAAATTGCGTTTCCTGTGCCAACCAGTGAGCTTGATGACAACGACCACAGTATAACATCGACTGAGGGGGTACCATTTCCACGACAGTCGGGTCTACATAACCGGAACGATCCAGATTTATGTATGTATATCTGGCCAAGGGCTGTCACTCCAGCAATACCTTGTATGCTTGATCTTGTAGAGTTTCGTGTGTATGTAAATATAATAACTCTTTACTAAGAAGTTAATTTTTAATTTTTTGATCAACAACTGCTTTTTTATTAAATGTCTTATTAAACAAACTTATGATAACCACAATAGTGCTGGGTAACGCAGCACGGCGTGCGCCATTGCGCTGATACCGATGGTGTTGCTAATGGCTCTCATACAATGTACTGACCGAAAACGAAAACACCTTGAAAACGAGTTTTGGGATTGTGGGCTGAAGGCTGTTCACACCCATGAACGAAAGACACAAGATCACGCGGGACGGAAAGAACGAAAAAAGTTATTCTTTATCTTATGTGTACACACGTTGTCACAAGCGAAAATGAAGAAAATTGCAGTAAAAAGCCACCACCAAATTGTAAACAACGAAGAAATGTAAATAAACGGCTAATGTCAAAATCGTTCAACTTTTTTCCTTAATGCGATTCTAACGGGCTACTCTCCTGCCCGCGTGATCTTGTCTTTTTGGTTCATGGTTCACACCGACTGTTGGTATTTTCGTTAACATTTCTTACTGCCGTCCCTAAATTGGAGCGCTAAGCGTTGCGTTATCCATTGTCGACGAGTGTCAGCGCGCACTATCGCCAAATCAACGCTTCGTAATTTTTGACGTTTTCTCAGATCCTCTCGTTTTTATTCTCGTTTCCTCTTTCACTTTTTTGTCCTTTCTCTTTCTTTCCGTCTTCCGCATCCAACTTCAACACGTAACGCCCTGTCAAAAATGAAAATTCCATTTGCTCTGCGTTAGCGCCGCGTTATTGTGGGATGCTTCATACAAATTAGGAGCGTTCCTTATCTCCCAGAAATAATCAGAAAAAGTCCGAAGTAGTCAGATTTAGTCTAAAAAGCGTTCCTTAACTCGGAAATGACAGCAAAAATGAGAGAGCAACAGTCAGTGAGAGTGACTCTCATCAGTCCGAAGTAGTCAGATTTAGTCAGAAAAATTTTTTCTGGCAAAATCCTGAAAAGTGTCAAACTCAACTGAATTTAAATTAACGGAAATTAAGGAATACGCTAAAAGTGAGAATATTCTAAAAAGTAAAAGAAATGAATTGAAATTGGAAGAAGGCAAAAAAT